CTAGCCATGGAGCGTTCTTGTGCTGGCAGCAAGCCTAGCCACTCAGTGGCGTTGACTTTGCATGAGCTTGGCAATGTGAGTTTGAAACAGAATAAGTTGGAAGCTGCAGAGACTTTCTTCAAAGAGAGCCTAGCCATGGAGCGTTTTTGTGGTGGCAGCGAGGCTGGCCGCTGTGTTGCAGTGACTTTGGAACGGCTTGGCTTAGTGAGCTTCAGGAAGAATGAGTTCAAAGCTGCAGCCATTTTGTTCAAAGAGAGCCTAGTCGCGCACCTGCACTGCTTTCTTTTTTGGAAACGCATGTTGTTGAGTTGCTTGAGTGGAATGGGCCTGGGCATCTCAGGGACGTTACTACTTGTGATGGGTATTCATAGGCCAAACGACCTTCTGGGGTCAGTCTTTTTCGTCCGTTTGCATGCGCTGTCGCCTTCTGGGGTACGGTGATGAGCGATGGAGTGGACAGTCCGACCATTCCCTGAACGGAGAGATGGGACGGGTCACCCGGCAGACTAGCACCACGGGCAAAACTAGAGCGGGAGACAGCCAGCTTCTGGTCGTGTGGCAAGATAGGTTCTTGAGGAGCTCTTTGAGCTCTATTCTTGAAGTCTAACACAGCAGCAACCTTTAATGGGAGGTTGCTTTTCAGTGACTCCACACGCTCGACATTGTACACAGACAGGTGAAGGTGTCATAATGAGTCTCATCACTGTGTCAGGCAGGTGCTACCAGGTCGTTCAGGAGCAAATTCGGGTGGATTAGCGAAAGAGAATTGCCGAGGTTTTCAACAAACATGTAGCGACTCTTGAATGCCGTTGAGTGGCAGGCGGACATCCATTGGGATGTCCTTTCTCGAAGTAGCGTTTCCTGAGATTTCCTGAGTCAATCTTCTTCTTGTGGTTGGCTCACAGCAAGAGGGGTGTGCCCCGGCCGGGGGCAAACCCCAGCTTGGACAACTTCATCCATCACGAACTCCCCAACATACAACGGATCAACACAATAGAAACCCATCCCAATAGGATCTCGGCATTTGTCCGGAGAGCTACCCTGCTTCGGGGTGTTCGCCAGTTCCTCCTTTTGGCAAAACGGCCATGTGGCAAGATTTGCTCCCCGGACGCTGGGAGAGCTGTGGGGACCGGCCAGCCTCGCTGTTGGCCTTCGAGAAGTTCTTGAAGAAGGTGGGGGGTTTGGCTGTTTTGGGAGTGCTTGGGGGTTGTGTGGTGGCAATTATATACTGGTCTTTGGAGGCTTTGGTTGACCTGCTTTTGAGCAGGGTAGAAGAGAGAAGTTCACAAGTGTCTCTGGCCGCGGGATGGTGTAGAGATCGCCATTTCGTCTCTATGGGCATTACACCGAGCTGGTGCTTCTGTTAAACCGAGTCGGTCTAAAGGGAAGCCCAGTCAAGCAGGAATATGGACTTCTTTGCTATGCCACTATGTCCACCTGGTCGCTTTCTAGAGATCCATTTCTTCAGAGCTCTTCGTTGGGGGACCGCGCCGTCCAAGGACCATGGACAGGTCGTCCCAGATGTGGAAGAGCTTCAGCAGCTGCAGGTGGGGTGGGTGGGTTGCTCCCCTCATCCAGGAACAGTGCAAACATGTGCAAAACTGTCATAGACTCACCACTTCCCACATACTCTCTCCTAATCTTTGATGTTTGAGAGACAATCCGAAAGGGCTGCAGTCCTGGCTTGTGGGCCATGGCCAGGCGGGCAGGTTTTCAGTGTTCACATCGGACCCGGCTTCGCAACGGGACTTCGGTCCGACCTCTCCACCTCTTTACCGCCGGCGTCAAAAGTGGAGGACCACGAGGCCAAGTTGATGGAGGGCCTCGTGGAGACCGGTGCTTCGGACGGTATGGGCCATGGGTGGTACGAGTTCTCGGTGGTACGGCAGGTGACAGACAGTTGGTGTCGTGCTTGAGCTGAGTAAGAGTAGAGATGGCCACTGCCGAGAAAGGTGGTGAACAACAGGAACAGAAAGAATGCTGATTGTGACCAATGGTCTGACGGTCGAAGTGGACGATGTGCAGCATCTCTCGAAACGGAGAATGTTGAGCAATGACCCGGTTAGTGGTGAACCAAGTCAGTGAGGCCGCATTGACCACGGACCATGTAGGATTAGGCTTGCAAGGTCTTCTTTGGGTTCATAGCATGATCTACTGTACCCCCTATCATTGTGGGATTTGTAGTCGTTCTTAACATGTCTCTTGTTGGTGGATGCTGTGACCTTGTCCTTGCACATGGGGCATGGTGGTTTCCTTGCGTGTTGTTTTGTCCGTGTGTGGTGAGGATGAATCAAGTTGGTGGAGAAAATGACATGAAGTTTGTGGATCACTTGAACTGGTTGCGAAATGGCCTCCACATTGCATCGCTCGTCAAGTAGGAGTATGAGTAAGGATTGTCCAACCGTCTTTCGGCCTTGGCACCGAACCGGGCCGCAACACCCCGACACCGATCTCTCACCAGTCTCAGCTGGGGGAGAACTACACACGAACAAGGTGTTCCAGGTTGGTTCCCAGGTTCACACTGCAGAAGGGCCCTTTTCGGGTCTTGTTGAGACGCGTGGCGTCCGGTCCCGTTGGACTCCCCGTCCGGCTCGTTCCGGTTGGACTCGGCACTCGCGTCGCGCCCGGCGGCGTCGGGACCCCAGGTTTGGAGTCGGTCCGCGTCTCCTCCGCGGCCGGAAGGTGAGACGTGTGGTGGTCGAACGAACGTGGGACCTGGGTGGGACCGGAACAACGAGGAAGGAACCACTGACCGGGCAAGAGATCGTTCTTAGAAAGGAGAAGTCCTTTCTCGAATACTCAGATCTTCCATTCAGCATGAGGAGATCATAGGAGATGTGTTGAGCAGTTTTGGAAGCGCACTCCCGCAGCCCATTCCCTTCAGCACGCATGTAGATTTTTTTGTAGCCGGTAACCCGGTAAGAAGTGCCAGAGCTACAAAGTCTGTACTCACTGTTAGAGTTTTGCCTGTGAGCAGGGGCACTCGTTGTTGGGCTGAACTCGAAGTCTGGAGTCTTCAGTGAGAGGCACGTGCCTGAAGAGAGAGTCATTCTTTCAACCACCTTACTGACTGGACATAATAATAAGCCTAGCGGACCAGGCCGCTGCTTTAGAGTCCCAGAGGCTCAGGCTGTGTCAGGCTAGCTTGTAGCTGAAGGTGACCACCAGCCGCGCGAGGGTTTCACAATGCCACCCCAAACCCTTCGACTGGACATGCCGCGGCAGGTGCCTCTACCTCTACTGCACGTGCTTCGCAGCCTTTCCTCAACTCTGGAAACATCTGCTGCGGCGCTTCAATGCTTCCCTGACCTTCCCGCGACTGCAAGCCTTGCTGCGCCTGCTGCGGGGCATGCTGGAAATGGAGTCCCGGCACTCGCTGAGGGGTGCTGGGGGGCGCTGGGGCTTCCTTTTTGACACCCACCACCTGTTGTTTTTCTTTCCGTTGCGTGGCGCTGCTTCCGCATGCACAAAGTACTTGGCAGTCAAGGGAGACCAGTCAGTCATCATCTGAGGGTTCGCGATTCAAGTTAAGGTTTCAAGGAGACCTTCCACAAGCGCAGTCCAGAATGGGTAAAGATTGCTTTGGATCGATTCTGGGCATGCTCACTGCTCAGCAGGGACATGGGTAACATCAATCATCCATTAGCGTAGCACCGAGCGTGTCAGCAGTGTCCATCTGATGCGGACCAACCTTGAGGGACTGCCTAATCCGTCGAAAGGGATGGGTCCCTTCCCAAAAGAGTCACCCGAATGTTTTGTGTTCAGTTCAGGTGAGTGACCCATTTGGCATGGATGTCCTCATCATACGCCGTCCATGAGCCTCCTTTTGGGTTCATGCCCCTAAAAGCATTCCTTCACCACACCACACCACACCACACTACACCCCCGCCGGGAAACGCCGAGAGCCGAGGACCCCTGCGAAACGGTGAGCTTTGAGGGTCGGGATCGAAGCCGAGGCTGAGCTAGTGGCTGGGGGGGTTTTGGCCTTGAAGGTGGCCCTTTTTGGAAGAACAACTTGTTTGATTCTATATATATATTTTTTTGGGGGGTGTTGAAGGAGCTAGGCACATGTTCAACATGGTAGGTTGAAAAGGAACACTCGAAATGTGTTGCATGCCTGGCAGGGATTTGGGCGCTTTTCACTGTTTGAATCGCTGCGGGGTCTGAAGATTGAAGACATGTAGAGGCGGACTGCGACATGAATCGATCTAGACATCGGGTTTGTCCCAGGAAGCCTGTAACAGTCGGATTAAAGATGTCGGCCAGCAACCTAACCATCATCATCCACTGGGCGCGGTAATAGGATATACCCGAGATCTAGACACTTTGGGGGAGGGGTCATGAACACGGTACTCGGAGCCTGAACATCACCGTCCTTAGCCCATTCACAATGAAACAATGTATCTTGGACCTTCACACTTTTCACTGGCCTCGGTCGAATGATGTCCAAGCTTCTGCCTCATTTTGCTTGCTTCGTGCCAGACGTTGGACGGAGTCCTTCACCCTCACACATGCGGGTCCGTTCGACCCCCGTTGAATACCCTCGTTGAACATACCGGGGCCGCGCGGTTTGCAGCACTGTTTTTCGAGGTGCCAGGGTGTTGACGGGCACGCCTGCGACGAAGCTCTTCGAGAACTTGCTCAAGGCGAGATAGGGTCCCGCAACCTGTGGCACTGTAGCTGCCCTGGAGAAGTTCCTTTAAAATCTTTTAAATGGTTAGCGTTGATTCAGCTTATATGCTTCTTTATTATTTGGAGCTTATGTGATGTGGGCATGTTGCACATCATGAATGTTGACCTCGGCTTTTGAGCTAGTGTCCCTAACCATGGCTAGTGAACTCCAAAGCAAACGAAGACAAATATCAACTTAATGACGAGACGCCACGGCCCAACATCAATTCCCACCAAGCCAAACACACATATAAGTTGAGAGTGCAAGCACATCACCTGGTGACCATTTACTGTAGCTCCTAAACTTCCCCACCCCTCTGGCGCTAGTGTAGCTTCCCCCTGATGAACCCTGTGGACTTGGGAGGTCCTGGAGCAGACGCAGCACCAGCGGATGCTGCACGAGGTGGTGCCCCCGTTGGCCCTGGCAGCGGAACGGGCGCCGCAGGAGTTCAGCGACACCTTTCAGGCGACGAGCTGGCGGGACGAGCCGGATGGATGAGGTGGCTGCTGGAGAAGGATCGAGGATTCGAGGATGTTGGAGAGCTTCAAGCAAGTTATATAATATAGGCCAGCTAAAGACTCAACCAGAAGGTTTCCTGGAGGTGCGGATTCCTGCGAGGGCGTTGTGAATGTGTTCGGCAAGAACACATGACCGGCAAGCAGACCCTGTGTTTTTGTAGCCTGCCCAATGGGCAGAAAGTAGGCACCATTCGTCCGCCTTCCGCCGTTTGTGAGCCTTGAGACGTGATGGTGAAAATGACCAACTTGGAGTGGTCGGTTCATTTGTACCTACAGTAGATTTGCCTCGTAGCAGCTTCAGCGCATCATTATACTCAAGATTGATTGAGTTTGGAAGAGGCAGAAGTTCAACAGCCAACAGCACCCCCCAACATGGGCGAGTGAGATTCTTTGTTCTGCATGCAATGTAATTGCCTTCAGAGTGATCCGCGCAAGAAAAAAGGGGACATATACCGAGTGGGACAAACTCCAGTTGGGGTTGATGTGGCTTTCCGCGGCGAAACACACAGAAACAACAGGCCGCAGTGGTGGGTTCCGAAGTCTGCATGTGGTGCATGAATCAGTCTCATGCGCATCGGTGTTGGGGGGGGGGCAACGGTGGCCTTCTCCGTCGCCGGCGCCGTCGCCGGCTCCGACAGGCGTCGGTGCAGTTGCTCTATGACTGGGCCGTCCGCCCAGGACCGAGCGGGGGCGGTAGCAGTATCAGTGTTGACATGGGGTCCGGCCTGGTTGAAGATGGGATGAGAAAAGCAGCTTTGATTTTTTTCCCCTCTTTAATGGCAGTATAGGCATGGACCTCTTTCTTTTTTCTTCTTTCTCCAAAGTGCCTGAAAAAGGGACATGTTTGCCGTGTGGCATGATACCACCAATCAACCGTGATGCTTCTGGGCCCAAATGCGTTTGTGGGGGAAGCTCTGGGAGAAAAGAGCTATCAAGGCGATGGAAATTCACCAGAACGCCCGGAAGTAGATGAACATGGTCTTCCTGGGGGCCTACGTTTCACTTGGAATTGTTTCGGGTTCACTTTCCTCCGTTCCAGTGTTTTTTAAAGGATTTGAGTTCTGTCCGGGGATCTGTTGGGTTTCGGTTTCTTCGAGTTCTGTGGGCTCCAGGACTGTCCGATGACTGCCGTGCCATTCTCAACACGGCTTTTGCCGCCTTCAGTGCTCAGTGGCATCAGGTGCCTCGGTCGCCGTACGGTCGCTCATGTTCGGCACAGCCCGCTGCGCGCGGCTCACCTGGACAACGGGATCAAGGCTTCCATTCGAAGAGCTGAGAAACTCCAGGTCTTGTATTGATCAGAAGTGTGGTGCTTGCAGTGCTTGCCGAACCGTGCTTGCCGAAGCCTGATGCATTTGTTGATTGTCGTGTAACACTCCCCCCTCAAGCCCAACTCCCCAATGAGCTGCCTGCCTGTGACCTTGAACCCCCACAAGACCAGAGGCACTCCCAGGTTGAACACATCACAGATCCACTCTGATTTGCCAAAAACAGTGGGAGATCGACGTTTGGTTCAAGAAAGAAGCGCAGAAACTGCTATCTACGGCTCCTACGCACTGGCACATTGACATGGAACCTGAAAACCACTGGTTTGGATAGAGTCTAGAGGAAAGCAGCCTTTCCGGGTTCCATTCTCAGGGTCCATGTTAGTTTTCGGGAGTGTTTCATGCTTTACTGGTCTACTGGGACTTCTTCCATTTTTCGGTTTTCGTGACCTAAAACCGTGACCTCTAAAAAGGGGGCCCTACCAGAAGCGATCTCATTCCTGTTGAGGATCCAAGAGAGGTTGAGAGACCTGAACGTTCGAACCCTGTATATAGTGGTACATATGGGATGGGCTATCAGATGCCTCTAAGGCTGTTCAGCCTCTCTTGGGATCCAATGAAGGTCACCGCTTGGCGGTCGGTCGAGTTCGTTCGATCGTCCAGGAGCGCCACACGGACTTCTCGGCGGCGCTGCACCAACAGGTGGGGGGAGGAAGGGCGTTGGAGCCGAGCAAGGAGGGAAATGGTGGGGGAAGTAGGGGGAGGTTTCCCCAATTCAGGCCCATCCGTGAGAGCGCGCCAGCTTCAGGTGGGCGATCCGTATTTTTCATCCGTATCAGTGCAATGACCAGTGTATGGCATTTCAAGTCGGATGTGTCCTGCCCAAGTTGCTTGGGCATCTTGCCCTGGACATCCTCCCTGTCGTTCTTGCGTCCGGGGGGCGTGAGTTCGATGGGTTGGACGGAGCGAGATGGAACGTGGACTGGATGTATACAGTCTTGCCACGGGCCACTGGGCTGTGTACGTTTGCAAGAAGTTGTTGGACAAACTTCATCCGCTCAGATTTCCGGTCGAAGCTTTGGATGTCACACCGAGCACGTGCACACCGAGCACGTGCACAGGTGCTGGCCGAATTGCAGAGCGCTGGCGAGCATGAGAAGCTGCATGCCTTAGTCTTCAGTTTTTACGGCCTCTCAAAGGCTATGGGGAGTCTTGGCCTGAAGATGGAGTGACCAAGGCGGCCATCACCCAGGCTGATGAATTGTGAGCTGTTTGGTCGCCCTTTTTGGGTTCCTTGGATCGCGAGCCTTTGGTGAACGCCGATCTGAGGAACCTGGGTGCTCACTATGCAGAAGTGGCTCCCCTACTGCTCCGATGCATCGATCAGGCAGCGCAGCTCAGTGGGCTTTTTGCGTCCGATGGCCAGAGCCGTTTCTGTCAGCGGTCCGCATGGACACAGCGTTCCATTTCCCTCATCTCACGGGGGATGTGCCATATCCGGCTGCGACTCGGCAATGAGTGCGATCTGGACCGTGTTGTCGTGAGAGATGGGTCACGGGGGCAAGATGTGGGAGCAGGGAAGAATGGACCTGCGCTGCCTCCATGCAGTGATGACCCAGGCCAAGATCAGATGAAGCCAGTAATTATAGGCCTGTGGCTGAATGGGGCTTCACCACCAATCAAGGTAGCTGCAGGATCGTTGCGTGGGGCTACCCGTAGTGGAGAGGAGAGGTACATGTTTTTTTTCCCAACAAATGGGCCCCAATGAGATTCAAATTGCAATCCTGCAGACAATTGAGACGCTTCTTCGGTCATTGGGCTCTCAAGAATGAGATGTGTGTTTGAGGGCATGAGTTTGGTGTGGTACAAATGTTGATGTTGCTTTCTTGTCCTGCTTTCAGCTCACCTTGCCCATGCAAACTCATGGCCTTTAGTGAAGAAAGGACCTGTGGGCCAAAGCTGTTCACGCAAAGTCTCACTTTATGTCATGAATCTACACACCTAGCTGCTAGGTCAGCGCTTTTGACTAGCCGGTGGTTTCGACCATTGTCCGAATCCCCACCGGGGGTTCACCGGGACTCCCCTCGGTGCCTTGGAAGAGGGTCACAAAGAGTGGTAAGTAAACCCATCGGCAAGACAATCACCTTCGGATTTTCTGCTTACAGTTTACAGTTCATTTGTGACTCGTGGGGCATCTCAAGTCTGTTGCACCACATCTCTTCAGATGTTCATTCATCTTGCGTGTTTTAAGAGGTGCCCTCCCGACGGAATCTCAGCCCGGCCGACCTCGTGGGCGCGCTGGCCCCCCGCCCAGGTGCACCTCCGTGCACTTGGCCGCCCTCCGAGCCCTCGGCGCCGAGCCATCGCCCTCGCCCTCCTCCGCGATGGCGGCGCTGGAGGCGGACCTTGTTCGGGGGCCGCCTACACCACTCCGACTGCCCCTGGTTCGGAGCTGTGAGGCCCCAAGGAGGTCCGTATTTTAGGAGGACCCCCTACCGGATAGACTGACTGGTCTAAATTCCTTCTTCCAGGGGGTGCCTGGGAGGTCTGTCCTACTTGAACACCCATATCCAGCTTCTGCTCCCTCGAGCGGATCGTCATCCATCATTTCTTCGATGCAGGATGGGTCGTGTTCGTCCGCGAGGCGCTCGCGAGCGCTCGGCAGGTGCTGCAGAGTGGGACCTTCCGAGAGCTCAAGGCCTTGAGCGACGTGGGGCTCCGACAGCTCTGCGAAGCCACCTGGGAAGCCATGCTGAACCACTCCTGCGGGGAGGTGCGCGGGAGTTCGTCGCGCGGTAGGTCGTGCAGCTGCGGGTGCGGTGGATGCCTTGGTTTGAGAATGGGTGATGTGTTGGGCCTGCAACACTCCACGACTCCAAAGCGAGACGAACGTGGACAGGACGGGTTCACTCACCAGTAGTCACTCTCCAGTACGAAGTCGGTCCGGTGAAACACCCGAAAAATCTGAAGAGGGACGACCATGAGGACCATCCATGGAGCAGCATATTCAGATCCTTTGATTGCTTGTGCTGAGTTCACACCTGCGAGGTGCTTCAGGCGGCTTGCCTGGAGAAAGTCTTGGAGGAGTTGCAGGAGATTAGACCTGGCAAGTCCCGGGGGAGGTTTGGCTTTGCGGACTGAGATGTTCCCAACCAACCTAGGACCAGGAGGCTGAAGAGAATGGGAGGGACAGCTACTTCTGTCAACTTGGGTCCCCGGTTCAGGCGGATTCTTTTTGTGGTCTCAAGATGGACAGCCCCGCCGCCTTGCGAACCGTTCCAGGAGCTCGTGCCGGTCTCGGACACCGAGTGTTTGCACGCCGGAGTGGCCAACTTGCAGCTTCTACAGCACTACTCAGGGGTCCTGGAGCCCAAGCAGCAGCAGGTCCTCTCCGAGAGCCTGCGCCCCATCTTGGCGGCCAGCCGGCAGACGGACGGTCAGAGCGAGATGCTCCTGGCGGCAAAGCTGCTGCGGCTCCTGGACGACGAAGCGCTGGTGGAGTGGATTGCGGAGGAGGTCTCGCATCTCGTGGCAGCGCGTCCGCACTCGAAGGGCCTTCGTCTGCTGCAGTCCTTCTCTTCGGTGCCTGGTACCTTCTGGCATTGCTTCGGTGGGCGCCTGAAGCTCTGGGAGCCGACCTTCCAAACGGCGGATCCCCAGGCGCTGGCCGAGTGCGCGCTGGCGCTCTGGCGCGACGAGCCGCGCTTCGGGCGCCTGCTGCGGAGTTGCTTTGGGCAGCTGATGGACCCACTGTGCCCCGGCGAGGCAGCAGCGCGGGGGCGCCAGAAGCTCTGGGCGAAGCTGGCGGCTGCACGGCTGGACCTGGGCGAGGCGCTGGTGGCGCCCAGTGGCGTGTTGCGAAGCTTGCTGGTGACCAGCTCCGAACTCAGCAGTGAATCCCTGGGCAGCCTGTTGACAGCCCTCCGTGGCGTGGCAATAGTTGGAGTGGGGGTAGGATGTTAGACTCAATGAGCGCTGTAGATAGATGATTGGTCTAGATGGAGTATCAAGACTGCGATCATCAACCTGAACTGCAAGAGCTATGCAACATTTCAGCTCATTCAACCGACCCGTGGCTCCGTCACACTGATTTCAGGCAAGGTGTTCCCCCAACGTCTGGGTCAGCTCGATGGGTTCGATTTCCCACTTCATCAGCCTATGGATGTTCTATTTGATCTCGACAGGGGGGGAGGTTTCATGGTTGATCCACATCTCTAGCTAGCAAAGCTAGGTAGACTGTGCTTCGTTGGCGAGGACGGGGCGAATCTGGTCGCCGGTGTCTTCCAGGTCGTTCAGACTTTCTGAGCTTTTCGCCTCGTGGTTCGGACCCGTCCTCCAGCGGTCCTCCGGGCCCGAGGCACCTTGAGCCCGGGCGACGGGACGCAACACCGGGACTTTCGAGAGTACTTGTCCTCCATGCTTTGGCGGGCGCCAGGCAGGGCGAGGTGAGGTGTGAGGTGAGGTGTGAGGTGAGGTGGGCAGACAGATGGGGAGGCGTTTTCTTTTGGGTGCCTTTTTTCTGCTTAGGTGGGTCTTGGCGTGGGAAGGTGGTGAGATCTTTGGGGAACCTATAGCTCCGACAAACCTTGCAAGGGACTCGGCCGTGTCTGTGAGTGACGCTTTGCGGGCAGAAGAGGGTGTTTGTAAGGATTGGCCAGGCCCAACTCTTGCGGCGCCCTAGGCCTTCCGCAACAAACCCATCAAACCAATCCCAAGCATGTTTATTTTTGATCAGGTCGCGGTCGCACTAAGTTACTTTTGGGACAGAAGTCCCAGTCATTGCACATATTTTCAGAATGCTCCAGAACTTTTACTTGATTCTTGGTGTGTGCCAGCTTTGGAGCACTCTCAACCCCTCTAGGAATGCTGGATGACGTCGACCCTTGAGAGAATCTGTGGGACTGTGCTGGCCATGTGACATCACAAGCAAATTCTTTTGCTCAAGCCAGACAATGATTCTATACCCCTCTTCCTTCCTTCAGTGCTGGGCAAGCACGACACCAGAAACAACAGCACTCTTCTCCACATGGATGTGTAATCTTTAATAGGAAGACCCCCTGGCCCTGGCTGGGTAGATTGAACTGGGATATATACTGGGATTTCATACGCCCATATGACAGCCCCGTGCTGCCCCAGCCTCGTGATGCATCTTCAGCGTGTTCTTGTGAGACTCCTCGGAACATTTCAAGAGGTTGGAGGCCAATCAATCCTTTCTTCTGAAGGGATTTAGGGAGGCCGTTTGGAGACTGTTCGGCCAGCCAGGAGTCCCCAACAACCTGAAGACCCTTTGGCTGCTGTTGCTGGCTGCGGCGTTCTTCGTCTCGCACCGCCTGAAGTCGCCCTTCGGCTCGGCGTCCTCGAGCTGCGCAGCTGCAGATGAGGGCGTGTCTGGACATGTTTGTTGAAAGCCTTAGGGCCCGAGCTTGGTCCATTTTCCCCACTTGGCCACGACATGATGGGCCGGGCCTTTCAGCTCCCTGCAATGTTGCGGGCCTAGACATTTGTTATGACAGCTCGCGGTCCTAGTTCCGGGTTTGGAATCTGGGCGAAAATGTTGGGCGAAAATGTTGGTCGACTCGGTCTAAGGGGGTTGGAAGCTGAACAAGAAGTGAAACGCTTGGCGGAACCCATTTCCAAGTTCTCTTTCACTCCTCCTCCTCCTCCTGCTTCTCCTACAAGGGGCACCATTGTTCGAGTTCTTTGGGCTCATGACGTGGGTCTTATGCCGAAGTTTCATGGAACTTCACCATTGGTGACCGCCACATACCGCCACATGACCTTTGATCGTGGTGAAACAGAAGACACCTTTCTTGAGACTTGGGAGCTTTTGAAAGAAGGAGCACTGCCTGAACGAGAAACACTAGAACCTGACTCACCTTGACCATCTCGAGAAAACATCGAGCACTCTTCGCACCTGCGTCACCCGGCCACCCTTCTGCCGGGGAAAGTCTTGGACACTGGAGGGGCAAGGCGCCAAACCAGTCGTGCCGTGTGCCTCTTCGAGGCCTGCAGATGCTGGAGACGATGATGATCGAGTCCTCGAGCAAGGTGGGGAGCCTAGGTGACCTGGCCGCGCGTCCGACCTTTGATTTTGAGCTGGGCAGAGGTCTACGAACAGATGGTTTTGTTCGCAAAAAACTGCCTCCTTGATCCGTGCCCCTCGCGCCCTCCGTGCCGTCGGACCAGGTGGCTCAAAAGGTCGCGGCGAGCCTCTCGAAGCAGGGAGCGGCCTTGGATGCCAGCATCATTGACGGGAGCTGCTCGGTGATCCTCCGCACCTCCGATGGGTGATCCCGTGGTAATCATCTCGAACCGTCCCCGGCCGTTGAGATGATGGAAACCTCTATATTATAGACCCCCAAAATAGATAGAACAAGTAGATCCCCACTCAAATTGAACTCAAAAGTGTTGGAAACCACTTCTTTGTATTGTGGGACCACCATTAAGGGGATTGTCTGCAACCACTTCAAAAGCCCTCAAAAGGTCACGTAGTGAAGAAGCTGGTGCACAATGTCTCAACCGCTCCTCCTTGGCGACCGATTTGCAATAAGAAGAAGCGACCTGTTTTCCTCGAGTGACCCGCATGACGAACAGCCGAGACGAGCGCGCCATTAGACCAAGCGTCTGCTCGAGCCCGCCCGGTCTATGATGATTCAGGGTTGGGGCATTGGATGTGAATGGTTGAAGTTTTAGAGGGCATGACGTGAGTGCCCTTTCGCTGCTACTGGTGCTTACCTTGGGTTGCTGTATATATGCACGTATACCTACAATAGAATATAGATATAGAGTACAGTTTGGAGGACTTGAAAGGTTGCCAAGATCTTCAATCGTCATGGTCATTTATTACATTATATATATATATATATATCCAACGCAGGTGGAAGAAAAAGGAGCATGCAGCTGGCAGAGAGAGAGAGAGAGAGTGCCATACTTTTTTCCACTTGATTCACCCTCCCTTCAACAATCATGGAAGTGGAAACACCTGTGAGTAGAGGAACATCAACTTCCCCATGTTCAACTTCCATTTTTGTAGGATGGAGGGTTCTTGTCCCTTTTTGTTGTGGGCACTTCTATCAAGAAAGGTTTTCCTAGACCTAGCCTTCCACGACCATCAAACAAAATGTTGACCTGGTTTTATTGTGTAAAATCCCCAGTCAGACTTGTGGTTGTCCGGGTAGAGACCATTAAAGACGTGGCTGTTGCAATCCTAGGGCTTTTAGACCACCACATCGCTCCCGCCGTTCCGTGAAACTGCTCCGGGATTGCCTGGCGGGCTTCCCGGGGGGGGCTGTGGATGGATCTCTTCGAGGCAGGAGGGGTGCAACGTGATGGCTGGGTAGACCACTGAACCCACCCCGCAGTGGATGCTACTGCTACTTCACAGGTGGAGAACGTGGCGCATATGTGCCACCGCGCCACTGGGATCGTCGGAGCACGTTCCCATCTAGACCTTTTGTGGGCATGAACCTTCAAATCATCACCGCTAAGAAGGCATCGTGACATAGTGGGGGTAGGGGGCGGGTGGTTTGGACCTTGATCATTTTGAAACCCGCGGCGTTTCAGGTTTCTGCCCTTTGGCCTGTGTTCAAGTGGTCTTCGCGCTGGAGCAGCTGATTCTACTGGCGCAGGAGCCGGTGGTCTTCAAACCAGAGGTTCCCGATCGGACTGGACGCGCCTGGCCTAAGAAGCTCTGAAAGAGATATACTGTGTGTGCATGTGTACATATATATTATATATATATACCTACTCATGTTGCATTTTTAGCAATAGAACACATTGATGAAAGAACAGGCGTTTGGAGATGCACAGAGCCAATCCAAGTCGAAGGGTGTTCCAGGTATGAAGCAACCAATTCAATCTTCTTCGGGCAGATGCTGTGCCATGACGCAGAGTTAGGTCAAGGGCTTGCATGTAGGTCCAAGCGAGCTGCTGCGGCGTGATGGAATTTGGATTGATCACACATGGGAAGGATGCTAATGATGGTTTTTGTGCCTACTTATATACATGTCATATTTGAAAGCCACCACCATCCACCCACCCGGAGCTTTGGCGAAGCCGAGCCCTTGTTTGGAAGAACGAGAGTTCTGCAGTTCTTCTCCCACACTCCAACTCACCGACCATGGAAGCAGAGAACAACCTCTTTGCAAAGGAAGAGCCGTCTTTTTCCACTTCCATCCCACTTCCATCAGCTCCAGCATCTCACTTCCATCCCTCCGCCCGGGTAGCTCGCGTCGTTCGACCCGACCGACCTACGAGGCGTTTCGAAGCAGTTCTTCGAGGCCAACCGAAAGGTCTGCGCCGATTGGTTCCACCGGATGCGTGGACTGCTGCAGCACACCTTGGCGCGCTACGGCTCGCACGCGGCGACCTATTCCCTCACGCAGGCGCGGCGGGCGTGAGCCGTGGGCAGAGTGGGCAGGAGCCTGAAACGAAGGCGAGGTGTTTGCTCCATATTCCGTGACGAGCAGGTGGGTTTTGGAAGCAGGGTGCAGGGGATCCCCTGTGGCGACCTTCTGTGCAGGTCGCAGGTCGAAGGTCTCTCGATGAAGGTGCTCCTTCGATTCTGGCAGGGCTCCACCTTCGCGGGCGTTCGTGGGGGCGACCCGACCAGTGGGCCACCCAAATCCCCTGCAAGGCCCGCTTGGTCGATGCTCTCAGCCACCTGAGCAGCACCGAACCCTTGCCCTTGTCGGAGCACGCCTTGCAAGTGCTCACTCGGAGGAAGGCAGAGGCCTGCTGAGAGACAAGTGAGAGACAAGTGAGTGGGAAGATGACGTGCGAACATGTGGAGGCCTCTTCAATCCAAAAACCCAAACAATTACTGTATATAACTAGATATTTTTGGTGGATTATTGTGGATAGTGTTCTAAAAAGTTCTTGAGGAAGGTTGTTCGAACTATGGACTATGGGACTCAACCTGTGTGTCACAAGAATTGGCTGTATCATGATTTCACCTCAGTGTTCCTTTTCGCCTCCTACAAGCCCCCTTCCGCTTCATCACTCCCCCTCTCGGCGGAAGCTTTCGTAACCTGCCAGGGTGCCCCGGGCCTGCGCCGCGAGCTGATCCTCTCCACGGTCTGGCCAGCACCGTCCGCGGGCGACACGCGCGACGCGCGCGCGCTGATGCCGGCGCTGGAGCAGCTGGAGCCGCGCCGTTCCGGAGGAACGCAGCGGGTGACGATCCTGACAGATCCCAAGAACAGCTTACCATCGCACAAGGCGCAGGAAGGTGATGGGTGGATGATAGTGGATGAGGTAAGCTGCCCAAGAGTGGAAAATTGGAAAGAGAGAGAGAGAGAGGGAGACAGACAAAAAGACATTGAAGTACACTAGGCACTAGTCAAAGATCTATATAAAATAATATATACACTAGGCACTAGGCGCTATTGAGGTAACTATAAAATTTAAAGATATTCCCTTTGGTGCCGTTGGCCCACTGAAAGAGCTCGGCTTTGCATGGGTGAAAGAAGTGGGCCCAGGACTCTCATGGATCTTCTCAGGATCCGGTGTCACAGGAATTTGCACCAGACATCCCAGGGACTGAGTCTTTCAGCGGCACATGCTGCCCCTGAGTCAGCATGTATGGTCTAGTAGACTTTAGTAGACAAACACCCCAACACTCCAAGACGTTCTCAGGCCGTGGAAGCCTTGGACCAGAACCTCGTGCCGTTGCTCTCGAGCGCCTTGCGCCTGCGCGACGTGGGTCTGTGCCGCGGCGTCCTGGCGCTGCTCTGCCACGGCGCCTGGGCCTTTGCCGCGCCCACGGGGCGCGCGGTGGTGCTCTTCCAGGATGGGGATGGTCAGGAGGGTGGGCGATCTGGTACTGAGAAGTTCTGAGGTCTGGAAAGCCTCCAGACCGGGCAGAGAAGGGCTGCCAAGTTCTGGCTCGTTGTCGACCCGACCGCAGGATGCTTTGCTGTGCTTCGCACAGAAGCGCTACGAGGAGGCGAATCTGCTCTTTGCCAAGTCCTATGAGGCAAGGAAATTCCAGTGGCCACGGAGATTGTTCCGGCTGGTGCTGTCATTGTCTGGAGATCTTAATAAATTTGCATGATCCAATATTATTGCTATGCTGCGCCAACTTGAATCGCACTCTTTCCCGCATTGTAGCTATTGTGTTCAAGGACTTGTGCTACAGAATCGATCAAATACCCGGACCCGATGCGAAGTCCTCATCTTGAACAGCTGGCACTCCTGAAGCAGGGGGCCAACCGCACCTGTTTGAGCGGTCCTTCAGCGGCAGAACCACCAGTCCATCGTTGTTTTTCTCGTCCCAAAGCAGCACTGGCCAGGACCCCGATGCGTGGGAGGACACGAACAACGCGGCGGATGTTAGGCGCTTGGGCTCCGGGCGTGGTCTGCAGAATCTGCTGGCGCGAACCTGGCTGGACAGCGCGCTGGAGGCGCGCGATGAAGAGGCGCTCCAGGCGTGGCTGCGGATGCACCAGGGCTGGGCGCCGGAGGCAATGGTGGCCTTTGCCCAATCGTACGCCTCTAGGAATGCATGAAAGATGGGGAATGAGAGGTGACGGGCGCAGACAGGGGTGGTATGTTAGTGACTTCTTCTTCTTCTTCTCCTTCCATCTCCTCCTTCTTCTTCTTCTTCCTTTTCCTTCTTCTTCTTCTTCCTCTTCCTTCTTCTTCTTCCTTTTCCTTTTGCTTCTCCTTTTTCTTCCTTCTCCTTCTTCTTCTTCCTTCTCGTTCTTCTTCTTCTTCCTTCTTCTTCTCCTCCTTCTCGTTCTTCTTCTTCTTCCTTCTCGTTCTTCTTCCTTCTCGTTCTTCTTCCTTCTC